GAAAGCCATGAAGCAAAAAAAAAAAAAAATGCAGCAAATCTACATAAGTCTAAAACTGAGAATATTATATAAAGATCTGTTAGAGGAAAGATATTTACAGGTCAATAAAAAGATATATGAAAATATAGAGAGAACTCTTCCAAATCAATGAAAATTCTCACAAATCAACTTCTTAAAAACCTTAGTAGAAACACAGTAAAAAGACATGAACAGGCATTTCATCAAATAAAGCTGCAAAGAATATGTATATGAATGGATGTCAGCTTCAGTCGTAATGAAGGAAATGCAAAACATACAAATGTATGGATTTCAAATTTCTTCCACCAAAATAAGCTTATCTGTTCATTCTATTTCCCCAGACCCTTACATGATTTCACACCCATCATATTAGCAAAAATTCAAGTGACATATTAAATGTGAGTAAGGATATATAGATCACTGGAGTTATTTTGTAAATTTAAATTTATGTATTTATTTTTATTTATCTGAAACAGAACAACAGAGGCAACAGAGGGAGAGACGTAGAAAGAGAGGGAAGGAAGGAGTGGGAGGAGAGAGAGAGAAAGAGAGAGAGAGAGAGAGAGAGAGATTGAACTTCCATACACTGGTTTACTCTCCAAATGTCCATAACAGTTGGGGCTGGACCCTGCTGAAGCTAAGAGTCAAGAACTCCAAAGAGTTCTGCCGTGTGGGTGGTAGGAACCCAAGTATTTGAGCCATTCTCTGCTGCCTCCCATGGTGCACATTCACGTTGCCTCCCAAGCTGGATCATAAGTAGAGGCAGGACTCAATCCCAGGCACTCAGATAGGGGATACAGGCATCTTAAGTAGAGGCTTAACCTATCACATCAGAACAGGTCCCCCTAGATCACTGAGATTCTTATACAATACTAGTGTGAATATTGTAATTATAAAGTGTATACCTTTGAAAAAAATCCTATGCATATTCACTAGCAGACTTTTGCAACATTATTTGCAACAGCATATTGACCCAAAGAGATAAACTGTGATACGTTTATTATGAAGCAATATACAGTAGTGAGAATGAATAAACAAAAGTTATGAAAGATACATGTCATAAGTCATTATGTCAAGTGAAAAATCATGAAATAGAAGAATATATACAGCATATCATTTATATACATTTTTAAAATGTTCTAAACCTAATAACTTTGGGGATGCATGAAAATGTAGTGAAACTACAAAGAAAAATAAGGAACTTCCACACAAAATCCACATTATTGGTTTCTTCTTGTGGGAAAAGGCGTTAAAGTTGGGAAAAATTATACTAGGTAAAAGTTTTTGAACAGACTATCAATATATGACTACTGATAAAGTATATGTTACTTACATAGTAGCATTCTTTTGTATATGTGATATTCATAATAACAAATGAATACAAGAAAACAGATAAATGATAGATAGATTGAGGATAGATTGGAAGGCACCAGAATATGCCTAATAGCAATTTTAGACAAAGGGACTAAGAGAATGGAGGGAAACAAGTCTGTTGTGTAAACTCTGAGCTACCAGCTCAAGTTGTATAACGTGCATGGATTCAGGGGGAGAACGGAGCCCTGGAGTGATACTTTCCAGGCCATACCTGGGGAAATGATGGGGAGAAATTTTCTATAACAGAAAAATGACCAGGGCCCTCAGATCAGAAGCGAACTTTGAATGATGACAAAGATGAATACAAACAAAAATACACACCTACCTACAACTTTAAGGATGAAAATAATATACTAAAAACTATCAAAGACAGAAGACAGAGTATCTACCAGGAACAGTAACAAAACTGAAGTAGAAGCTTTTTGTCGGCTAAACTATTTACTGGAAGTCTGATGGAACAATAACTTAAAGTTATACAGAAAAGTAACTGCCTATATGATTTATATACCCCAGATAGACTATCATTTAAGAATAAAGGCAAAAAGATATATGTACAGATATAGAATGACTATGAGTTTATCACCTTCAGAGTCTCATAAAAAAATCACTACAGAAAACAGAAAAGCGAAGTTAGAAGAAAGGAAGGATGAGTAAGAAACAGAGGAAAGGAAAATGAGCAGACACAGATAAAATGTAGGGAAATTTGTAATTTTGGTGAAATTAATTTTGTTTTGTCTTTCACAATAAGAGAAAAACTCTAGGTAACAATATAATAAGGAAAATCAGCTGTGGCAATTTCAGAGGCCTTCAGTGAATACGTAAAATATAAAACATACCAAGTTCCTTGAGTTGTTTAGGAAAGAATGAAAATATTAAATAAGACATTCTCAGATGTGTTTATAAATATCTTAGAATTTTCTATATTCTCTTCAGTTCCCCACAGTAAGGAATAAACATCTAACCTAAGACTTCCAAATTATCAGGGAGATTTAAAAAGAGGTACAGTAAAAAATGCACCACTTCACAAAGAAGGCAGGTTGGGAAGACAACCATCACCCAGGAAAAACATGGTTGTTGAAAATTACAAAAATCAGGGCCGGCGCTGGCGCCGCGGCTCACTAGGCTAATCCTTCACCTTGCGGCGCCGGCACACCGGGTTCTAGTCCCAGTCAGGGCGCCGGATTCTGTCCCGGTTGCCCCTCTTCCAGGCCACCTCTCAGCTGTGGCCAGGGAGTGCAGTGGAGGATGGCCCAAGTGCTTGGGCCCTGCACCCCATGGGAGACCAGGAGAAGCACCTGGCTCCTGTAATTGGATCAGCACGGTGCGCTGGCCGTAGCGCGCAAGCCGTGGAGCCATTGGAGGGTGAACCAACGGCAAAAGGAAGACCTTTCTCTCTGTCTCTCTCTCTCTCACTGTCCACTCTGCCTGTCAAAAAAAAATTACAAAAATCAGAAAATGATAGCAGTAAGTTCAATTTTGTTTAGGATGATGACAAACAGCTGCCTTTGCAAATGATAACTTTAACATATTCTAACTGAATTCTTGATCTCCACCACACCTCAGTGCACTCACCCAAAACCTACCTGGAAGACATTCCTCAGTTTATTTGCAGCAACTCTGTACTTCCTGTTGCCCAGGCTGAACTTCGACATTTTGTTTGACTCCTTCTAGTATTTTATATTATATTCCAATCCATCAGCAAATACTGTAGGCTCCATCTTGAAAATGTTTCCAATATTTGATATGTCTCCCCTTCTTCATTGCTACCAACTTGGGTCAAATGATTATTTCTTGTGAGGATAATTTCAATTGTCTTGATCAGTGGCCAGTTCCATCTTGCCCATACCTCACTCAACACTGCACCTTATACTCTATTTCCACCTACCACCTCAGCCTGTTAATCTTTCACCCAACATCTTGCATAGGAGCCTTTTTTTTTTTTTTTTTTTGATAGGCAGAGTGGACAGTGAGAGAGAGACAGAGAGAAAGGTCTTCCTTTTTGCCGTTGGTTCACCCTCCAATGGCCGCCGCGGCCAGCGCACCGCGCTGATCCGATGGCAGGAGCCAGGAGCCAGGTGCTTTTCCTGGTCTCCCATGAGGTGTAGGGCCCAAGCACCTGGGCCACCCTCTACTGCACTCCCTGGCCACAGCAGAGGGCTGGCCTGGAAGAGGGGCAACCGGGACAGAATCCGGCGCCCCGACCGGGACTAGAACCCGGTGTGCCGGCGCCGCTAGGCAGAGGATTAGCCTAGTGAGCCGCGGCGCCGGCAGGAGCCTTTCAAAACATAAATTTGATCATGTGCTTTTGTGCTTTAAGCCCTCCAGTGGCTGCCATATCATGTGGAGTAGAATCTGAAGTCCTAAGAATGGCCTAAATGACACTATCTGGCCTTAGTGGTTGCCTTGTCTTAACCTCCTACTGCCCTCTACCTTCTCATTGTATTAGTTTCCTATTGCTTCTATTAACAAGTCACCACAAACTTAGTGGAATAAATGATACAAATTCATCATTTACTGTTCTAGAGGTCAGAAATCGCAGTGAACTAACATCATTGTGTAGGCAAGGCTGCCTTTCTACTGGATACTATAGGGTAGAATCTTTTATTTGTATTTGCAGCTTCTAGTGGCTTCCAATGTTTATTGTCTCATGTCTTCCCCTTAGCAACTGCATCACTCTGTCATATGCTTTTGTGTTTGTATCTCCTTGACTCACGCCTTCTACTTTCTCTCACAAAGATCACTGTGATTGGTTACTTTGGGCTCACCAGCTAATCCAGGATAATTCCCCCTTCTGAAGATACTTAACAATCATGTCTGCAAAATCCCTTTGGCTACATAAGATAACATTCACTGTGTCTTGGGATTATGATGTGCTAAGCCATTAGTCTGCTTACCTCACTCACCGTGCTGCATCTATACATCCATCCATGAATTTTTTCACTCATTCAACTAATACTTTTAAGTAGGAAAAGATGCTGTTCTAAGCACTAAGGGTACAGCAATTAATAAAATTGATGAATAACCCTGTTTTTCGGAAATCTAGTTGGGGAGAGATAGAATACATTTAATACATAAGTAAATTGAATTCTATGATGTGTTAGAAGGTGATAAATGCTGCACAGGGTGAAATGCAGGAAAAATGAGATTGAGAGTATTGTGGTATGATTGTGGCTGGATTTACCCATTGCTGCTATTTTTCATATTATGTACCTGTGTTCATAGAGCATATATATTATTAAGGAAGAATAAAATTGTTGAGAAGACTATGGGATCAGATAGTCTAATACTTGGGTTCAAATCCTAGCTCTACCACTAACTATGTGATATTAGAAAATTGAACTCCTTTATGACTCATTTTTCTCTATGAATCAGAGATAATAGAGATATGTACCTTCTACTTTTCCTGAGAGGATTAAGTGATAAGGGTAAAATAGCTTAAAATTTTTTCTATTTATTATTATTTAAAAAGAAAATCTTCCAGATTGAATTAAAAAGAACAATAAGGAGAACACAGTCCTTGCCCTCTAGGAATTTGTCTAGAGCACTGCTCTTCAAATGTTGGGTGCAGGTGCTACGGATCATCACACAAAATGATAAATCTCACTTACCTTTCTTACTCATTTTTCTTTCATCCAAAAAGGGAAATACATGAGGCCATCACAATTGTTGCTGCATGGGCCTCCATGGACCCACAGGCTGTCTCTTGCAGAGCAGAGGGGGTGGAAGTTGACTTTGGAATAGCAGCAGTTCTACAACCCGCAAGGGAGAAGGAAGTTTCTTTTATTTACTTATTTACTGTCCTTTATTGTGTGTGCCATGTCATACGGGTGTCTGTTAAGTGGATTTATGGACATCTATGTCTCACAAAATGGAGAAACAGCTTGGAAAAATCCTTTCAAGTAAAGAATGGATAGAAGATAATACTAATAATACTAGTAAAAATGGCAAGCCAGATATATTGTCAGCCACATTATGAAGACCAATGCCATTCTAATCAGATCTATTGATGACTCACCTAAAAATATAACATCGAATTATCTATTTAAAATGCTGAATTATCACCACTCTGTTAATAATAGGCATCCCCCCAAGTAGACAATTTGCCCTAAACTATTGACAAGAATGGATATCTGAAGATATTATAGTTTTCTGATATTAACATCATTTCTATAAAACTCCATATACATTTTTTTGAAATTTTCTGTATTTTTATACTATACATTATATATCAGAAAATAGTGCTGCAAATTTTACATAAATACATAAATATGTATTCTATGTACTCAAATGTGGTTCCCTGATAGGATGCAAATATTGAATAAATGTGGAGACCATGCCAAAAAAATAGAGCTTGCAGGGCATTCTGATGAGACATTTGACAAAGTGAGTGTAGAAGATGGGCATTTACCTGAGGGGGCAGCAACCTATATTAGAGGACATCAGGGTTGAGGCTGAAGTGGGGGTGATCCTTAGCCGCTCACGGCTGGCATGGGAGGGCATTCCAGGCAGAAGGAACAAGGTCAACGAGGACAAGGCAGACTCTAAGACGTGCAGGTTGTTTAGAGGGAGGGTGTGGTGACTGAGAAAGTGAATTATATCCAAGCCCACAGTGCAGATAAGTAGTTGAATAGAGATGGGTTTTTTTGTTTGTTTTTATTTACTTATTTATTTGAAAGGCAGAGTTGCAGAGAAGGTGGGAGAGGCAGAGAGGGAGGGCTTCCATCCACTGGTTTACTCCCCTAATAGCCCCAATGGCTGGAGCTGGGCCGATCTGAAGCCAGGATCCTGCAGCTTCTTTTGGGTCTCCCACGCGGGCGCAGGGGCCCAAGTACTTGGGCCATCTTCTACTGCTTTCCCAGGCTGTAGCAGAGAGCTGGATTGGAAGTGGAGCATCTGGGACTCAAACTGGCACCCATATAGCATACCGACACTGCAAGGAGCAGCTTTACCTGCTATGCTACAGAGCAGGCCCCTGAACAGAGGTTTTAACTCAGGCCCTCTGAGTCCAAATTTCTAGTATATCCCTTAGGAAGAAATAATATTAAAAATGCAGGCTTTGGAACTGGAAAACAGGTATGAGTGTAAATGTTGTCAGTTGCTCTGTGACCTTAAGTAAGAAGCATCTCTTTAATATTTATGGAGTCCTCATCTGCAAATGGAGATACTGTCCGAAAGGATCACTTAATGGGTCACCCAAGATGATTTACTCTATTTACCACAGTGAATGACCTGTGACAAATGCTGTTATTGCTCGCAGGAGTTCAGGGTTTCCTAGGAAAGTTTAGACCAAGGAGCAGCACTGGTCCAGAGCCACCATGGTCAGCATGCATGTTGTATTAAGAGCTAGGAGGGGGCTGGCGCAGTGGCGCACTAGGTTAATCCTCTGCCTGTGGTGCCCGCATCCCATATGGGTGCTGGTTCTAGTCCCAGCTGCTCCTCTTCCAGTCTAGCTCTCTACTGTGGCCTGGGAAAGCAGCAGAAGATGGTCCAAGCACTTAGGCCCCTGCACCCACATGGGAGACCAGGAAGAAGCTCCTGGCTCCTGGCTTTGGATGGGCCCAGCTCCAGCCGTTGTGGCCATTTGGGGAGTGAACCAATGGAAGGAAGATCTTTCTCTCTGTCTCTCTCTCACTGTACTTTTACCAAATAAATAAATAAATCTTTAAAAAAAAAGAGCTAGGAGGAATTTGTCTTGCTCTTGCTTGTCCTACACTGCACCTCTATTGGTAACAGAAATAAGGCCTCAATACTGTATGGTAACAGATCAGGAAAATGAGAAATGGGGAGAGGACAGTGAGTTATGTTGGAAAGGGACAAAATACCAAAGAGAGTAGGAGGGAGCCCAAAGAAAAGTGCTTTTAAAAGGAACACTGAACAGAGAAAAAAGAATGATCCTTCCTTTTGGATGGAAAAATACGGTTTAAATCCCTTACCTCACTGCCACACTCTACAGTCAAGGCTTGCCTGGAGCTGCAGCCCGGAACAGGGCAAAGCTCTCCACTGGTTGATTTCAGTCCTGTGTCTTCAGAAATGCCCTGCAAAGATAGGAAGCACAGTAAGCAGGGTTTCAGACAAAGTAATGTCACGAATAATTTGCATCATGAAGAGAAGAAAGATGAACAAAAGATGGGAGGTTTAGGGGTGGGTATATGTGCGTGTGTGTGTACAAACGAAATTATTTTTACACTTTGAAGAACTCATTGGAAGAGAATCCAATCATTCTTATGTCAGGATACATTAAATCAATAGAATGACATCAGCAATCAGAATAGAAGTGGAATTCATCTCAGCTTCCTGGAAAACCCCAGGCAGCTTATAACTCAATCAGAGCACCGGCTGCAGTTTCCAGTGACTGTTTTTTTTTTTTTTTTTTCCCTTTTCTTTATTTGCATGACTCTTTTGACCATTGAACTGGCAACTTCCAGAGGGCACAGTCTGCAGCTTTCTCGTATTCTTTTTTTTAATTTTTTTTACTCCAAGGCACAGAAGGAGCTCATCATGCACGACACCAAAATAACTGTCAATCTGAATTTGACCCACTGTTTGAAAGACACAGGGAATTCCTACTAGCATGGATTGGCTTTAAACCTTTGTAAGCAACATTCAGGCTCTGCTCCCTGTCCATGCATAGCTGGTGAAGCAGCCTGGCAATCAGAGGCCACGTGTGACAGCTCTCATCACGGCCACTAAGTGGGTGCATTTCAAGGTAGTAGTGTGTCTCCACTAAGCAGAAACAAGGGCAGACGTGGCTTTTTTTCCAGCTGCTATTATCTGAATATTTATAAACTCTGCCTCCAAACCTCACCACCACTTTTTAGGAGGTGATTAGATCATGAGAATTGAGCTCTTATGAATGAGCTTGGTAGCCTCATACAAATAAATTTCTGTTATTTACAAAGTGCCCCGGCTATGATATTTTATAATAGCAGTCTAGTCATATACCAATTCAGCCCTCACCACAGGAACACTCATCCTCTTCATTGGGGGAAAGAAGGTTGTTTCAGATACTGGATGATTTTCAGTTCCACAGGGGTTATTTATCACCATGGTGTGTGACACAGAGTCGTCCGGCTCTGCCATTTAAGGGTGATGTAGCATTGGCCAAATAACTTAACTTTCCTGAGTGTTGAATTTTGCATCAACAAATGGAATACAATGCCTATCTCAAAACAATGTTGCAAAGATCAAATAACTTTGAAGTATCAGGCACTATGCCTGGCATGTGTCCTGTATACAACAAATGCAAAATATTGCTTTATTTAATTAGAATACACTAAATTCTCTGGTGAGGACTTCTCCATGTGGTGACTAAACTGATTCTAGGCTTTAAGTGCTAAGAGAGTGGCTTCTCTCCTATCATCCAAATTAACATCCAAAGAACAGTGATCAGCATTATATTGATCACATGCTCACCATTGGGTCATGCAGTATCCAGAATGACAAGGTACTTTGACCAGCCTATGTCATTTAACCACTCCCATGACAGGAAGGGCAAATGGATTAAAAACAAGAAAAACACAAAAAGACGCCCATTATTTGGGTTTGATATGAGATGAGTGAGTTTCTCAATGGAAGCTTTGGATGAAATATGTAACTTTCAATGACAACTTTGACTTAATCTTTCAGACTCTTCTTAATTCCATAACTGAAAGATAATGGCCACTTACAAAAATATACCAAGTAGAAAAAATGTTCTATATTTACTACTAAGAACAATACGTAAAGAAATAAAATGAAATGATCAGAAATAACATTCCATACAAAACAATGAGACAAAATCCTGAGAAGCAATCACAATCATCATTGGAATTTATAAATTTTAATTGAACCAAGACCTAGGAGATCTACTACCTAGATGCCTCTCCTGGACTAGATATCTACCCCTGCTTTCCATGAGGCAGCCAAGGAATCATGAAGAAGACTGGCTAAAGCAACAAGAAAGTAGTTAGAAAAGCAAACACCACTAAAGGAGATGGAATGACAGACTTAAGATATAATGAATGTACCCTGGAAATACATCACCAGATAGGCACTGAGTGGAAGTCAAATTTTTATAGTCAACATGAATAATAGTACAATAGCAACATATTTATAATGTGAATTTTGTGACTGTTCTAAGCACTTTATGCATCACTTAATTCTTACAGGAGTCCTGTTAGGTAGGGATGAGATATTGATCTCAACTTGACACCAATTGAAGGTAACAAAAAATAATGAGATTTAAACAAGGCCACTTATTAAAATAAATACTTGTTTTTTCCTGCAAATTGCAACCCTCTTTTACCTGTCATACTGTCAATTTCTATCCTTATCTAACACAGCAATTATCTTTAAATATTATCATCAACTTATATAAAATTTTACATGAGAAATCAAGTGTTGTTACAATAGAAGAAACCTCCCAGGTTATCAGGGTCAGTCTTAGGACCTCATATCATCAAGTGGCATTTCTGGGAATTTTGCTTGTCACTTTCAGCCTTATAGAATAAATATCTTTGCATCTTTGTTGTTATAGAGTGCAAAGCATTTGCTTTATAAGGTTTGCCAAGTTAGGAAATAAAGCACTTTCTATAACTAACACTCTGATTAGAATATATTTCTTACTTTTCCAAGTTAATGATGGAAATGACACTTAGGAGAATTAATGAAGAGTTGTCCAGAGAGAGATGTTAGGTATTTCATAGCATTGGATTTGATAAAGGATGTCTGTTAACCACCAAAGAAACAATATATTTAAGTATAGTTTAGCTTTACCTCTAGTGTCCCTATAATGTAGAGTGTTCTTTTTTCAATTTATCACTCTTTTAAGAGATCAAGCTGACAAGCCACTGTATTGCTTATTCCTCAAGGCTACCTGGTGAGCCAGGTTGCTATTTCACTCTTTTGAGAAAAAAGCAGAATAAATGAAGCCAAACTCTTTAACCCATGCTAGTCACAAGTTGAGAGCTAGATTTCAAATCTTTTGAACTTGTGTATTATTAATGCATTGGACAAAATTACTTTTCTTTAAATCATGTACTTATTATGTTTTATATATTTTCAAGATAATAAAAGATATTTAAGGTAAAGGTAAAACTTATTTATAAACTATACTTCATGATATACATTACTACCTCGTCCTTGTCTACATGCATATATATTTTACAAATATGTAACACAGATGTGCCTGGTAGTACCAGGATTCAGGGTTTACTCTCATTTTTAATTTACAAATACAAGTAGTTAGAGGCCTCATTCTACTCTTGCATGAAGAGCATATTAATGTCTCACTAATGTTTCACTATTCCATTCTTCACCAAGTAGCCTACACATGGTGATGCGCTGATTCAACAATGGGATCTCCAGGAAACAACGTGTATGTACTAATATATCAATAATTCTATATAATTTATATATTATTGTACTAACAGGATATGTAACACATGATTTACAATAATTATAAAATGTACATGCTTTTCATGGTAAAATCTGTATAGCACTCAATTTTTATAAGATCATTGATTTGCTGATCTTGAGTGCCTATGGACAACGTATGATTGCAATTGACAAGTATGGATCCTACATAAATACTGGTCGATATTTACACTGAAGAGTATAGCAAAAGTTAAACAAAAGAAACACATCAGATATTTACTCACTCATCAGTGACAACAACTTGTTTGCCAACTTGAATATTAGTTTTTGAACACTAAAAGGATATTTTTGTAGTATGTCGTGCTATCCATAATGTATTAGACATAGACATATAATATTTTAAAGTTTAATAGGAATCAACATCTTCTGCATTATTTTTCTAAGTCTAGAAAATCAATAAAACAATAAATAAAGTCCTGTTTTACTGTAGTTGCTACAAAATACGATCATCAGTGTGGGCATTTTGTGCAGTGGTGAAGTCGCTAGTTGGGGTGCCCACATCCCATATCAGAGTCCCTGATCTGAGTCATAGCTACTCTACTTCTGATCCATCTTCCTGCCAGTGCACCATCTGGGAGGCAGAAGGATTTGGGTCCCTGCCACGCATGTGGGAGAATTAGATTGAATCTCAGTCTCCAAGTTTCAGCCTTACCCAGCCCTGGTTCACCCTCTCTCTCTCTCACTAGGCTAATGAAAGCAAATAAATTAAAAATTAAAAATATAACCATCATGGCTTAACCAAACATAGAATTAAGAAGAGATATTTTGCTATTATATAGTATTTCTATTATAAAGACATAAGAAACCTAAATAACTTCAACAATAAATACGATAGTAAAATACAGCATTATGTTTAAGGAATGGTGAGTTTTGGGATTTTTTTCTTTATTTTGAACAAAATTTATTTAAATGTTATAATTATATAATTTAATTTTAATAATGCCTGAATTTAGCAATTATCTAGTAAAATCCTTAAAAATTTCCTAATGGAGCCATCATAACCTGGCTTCAGCATACCAGTTCCTAGGCCTTGCCTCTACAAAGTGTTCAAGTCCCAGCTTCTTTGAAAGATCATTTCCACCTCTGCTACCCATTGTGAGGAAGGAAGAGGGCAGGCTCCAGAGAGTTTTTCCAAAAAGGAAACAAAATCTAGAGATATAACTCTACTTACATTGAAGACAATTTCACTAACCTGCAGAATGGTTAAACTCCACACATCTTCCCATTTCAGAGAATGATTTTTGTTCTAGCCATATGGACAAAATGGATATCAAAACAACCCTTGAGACTCAGAGATCATCTACTCTTAGGACAAACTGATTTCCACTTCAGAAGGCAGGATCTGCTTATAAATTTTAAAATAGATCTCCTTTATATGGACAAAATCAGATTGAATATGTATGTAAACAAGCCTACTCCACATTCTAATGGACTGAATCATGTTGTAAATGTTTATGTACAACATGTACATATTCTAAATGTTATATGAATCATTGTGTTATATGCATTATATTCCGTATAATTATGTATTTTATATAATATTACCTTTTTTCTCATACAATATATTATAAATATTTCTCTATTATGTCAGTTGTTTTAATTTTACTGGCTGCATGTGACA